CTCCATGCTCCAACAGTAGCACGACAACATACCTCAAACTGACTCAGCGGAGTCCCTAAATGTAGTACACTGGAACCCAAACACTATAAACCTCAACACAAGGTTTTGTTTTGACAGCAGCAAGATAACATACTTTTCTTTTAGTGTAAGTCAAAGGAACCAGAATTTTTTCCAAGTAATCTTGGAAAATTTCTTTTGGTTCATTCATCATGAAATTTACACACATTGTAAAGAACAACAGGCAACTGAAAAATGACAAAAATGGAGATACAAGGTTTTCTTCTGACAGCAGCGATACACAATTTTTCAGTTTTTGCATAATCTGAAAATGCCTGTTACCCTTTACATTGTGTGTACATGGGAAATGGTAAAAATATTACTTGGAAAAATTCTGGTTCCATTGACTTAAATTAAAAATAAAGTATGTTATTCCTTCTACTGTAAAGTTACCATTTTGGAGATACAAGGTTTTGTTCTGACAACAGCAACCATGAAAAAAAAAAGATATTTGAAAAGCAGATTTAATCTGCTTTTTAAAAAATAACAGCACTTTGCTTTGAATGTTCCACTTTCATATGAATGAACACGTCACGTCATTTCAATTTTACACAAAAAACACATTATAATTTCCATGACTTCTCTGAACTGAAGGCTTTTCAACCTGAGCTATATTTAACACTCTTTTAAGCTCTGAGAGACGCTTCTGCTTCAGAGACCTGCACTGTTCACCAGAGATATACGGCTGTAATGCTGTGGAGGTATAAAACCTGCACCTATAGAGAATATATGATCTGTACATTATGTAGGAGACAACAACAACCCGCGTTTATTACAGTGCTGATGCTGTACTCACACAAAACTAATAAAACTCAACATCATTGGTATTTTACAAATACAGTGGTGTGAAAAAGTGTTTGCTTCCTTCCTGATTTCTTATTCTTTTGCATGTTTGTCACACTTAAATGTTTCAGATCACCAAACTAATTTAAATATTAGACAAAGATAACACAAGTAAACACAAAATACAGTTTATAAATGAAGGTCTTTATTATTAAGGGAAAAAGAAACCCAAACCTACAGGGCCCTGTGTGAAAAAGTGATTGTGGTGGTAGTGTGATGGTCTGGGGCTGTTTTGCTGCTTCCGGACCTGGAAGACTTGCTGTGGTAAATGGAACCATGAATTCTGCTGTCTACCAAAAAATCCTGAAGGAGAATGTCCGGCCATCTGTTCGTGACCTCAAGCTGAAGCACACTTGGGTTCTGCAGCAGGACAATGATCCAAAACACACCAGCAAGTCCACCTCTGAATGGCTTAAGACAAACAAAATTAAGACTTTGGAGTGGCCTAGTCAAAGTCCTGACCTGAATCCGATTGAGATGCTGTGGCATGACCTTAAAAAGGCGGTTCATGCTCGGAAACCCTCCAATGTGGCTGAATTACAATTCTGCAAAAATGAGTGGCCAAAATTCCTCCACAGCGCTGTAAAGACTCATTGCCAGGTATCACAAACACTTGATTGCAGTTGTTGCTACTAAGGCTGGCCCAACCAGTTATTAGGTTTAGGGGGCAATCACTTTTTCACACAGGGCCCTGTAGGTTTGGATTTCTTTTTCCCTTAATAATAAAGACCTTCATTTATAAACTGCATTTTGTGTTTACTTGTGTTATCTTTGTCTAATATTTAAATTTGTTTGGTGATCTGAAACATTTAAGTGTGACAAACATGGAAAAGAATAAGAAATCAGGAAGGGGGCAAACACTTTTTCACACCACTGTATATCATTGTATTACAGGTGACGTTTAATAAACGGTAAACAGGTATAAAACACATTTACAGAAGAGTGTACTGTATACAGCACTGTGCACAAGTCAGAGAGCTCCTTTCACTTATTTAACTTCCAGTCAAACTTTAAGTACAATGTGTTTATTTTTAACAAAACAAATTATATTTAACAGAAAGTTACCCAGAATCCTCAACAACTAACTCGAATCTCAGCTGTGTGAGTGTTCAGTGAGTCACTCTTTGGCCCAGTCCCATTTCACCCCTCGCCCCTACCACTGAGCCCTTAGCCCTCTGTTTTGCGCATTCACGTCTAGGGATAGGGTGTCCTGATTCTTGTTGAGATAGAGGGGGAGGGTGAAGTGTTGGGGCAACATGACCCTCCAAACGGAGGTTTTTCAGAGACTCCAAACAGAGAGATATGAGAAAAAAAGAAAAACCGGCAAGATGGAGAACAAGAGACCAAAGAAACCCACAGATGTGAGAATTTTCTCTGTTAAAAAATGATGATAATCACTGTATTATCATAGTTTAATGTCGTTTCCATGTATTTTGGTCGTTTTCTTCATAACAAGCATAAAATCGCCAATAGCATGCTAATGTCTCGGTAGCTAGCTAGCTAACTTTCCCGTTCCACCTTAAATAGTCCAGCAGTTCTGACGCCTGAAGCACCAGAATGTAACTGCTGCACCCTTTAAGATGGAACGGGAAAATTCAAACAAGAAGCTGGAGAATATCTGACTTCAGCTTCATATCACCAAATAATTAGCAGTGATAATAAATAATTGCCCCCCTCTTTGAAGATCATATGATGCCCTAAATGTAACTAAAGCCCAGCAGTGAGGAGCTGAACTTTACCCTCCTCTGCTATCACTGAAGATGGGCCGGGTCGCCTACAGAGCAGCGCTGGTAGCTGTTAATGAAGGAATGTTTTCTTTTTTATTTGAGGGTCCCATTTCGTAGGGCAAGATTTCAACCACTACCCTGTAACTCAGTTCAGAAATGGGATTGGGCCTTTATTCCAGCTTCCATTCTTTTCAGGAGACTCGCTTTCAGCTCCTCAAAGAATCTGCAGACACACCTCCAAAGTTCAGTCTTAGAAGCTGGTTGATCATTTTCTGAAGTAATCAAACACATTCAGTGGTGTTGAGGTCTGGACTCTGGGGTGGTCAGTCCATTGTTTAGCTTCTTTGTTTGATGTGTCCGTCTCCTTTTCTCAGTGAGGTTCTTCTTGATCAGCTACACATCCTTTCAGACCCACAGCGCTGAGTCGTCTTCTCACAGTGGAAGGATGGACAGAAACACCTGTGGATGTTTTCAGATCTGAAGCAGCTTGATTTTCTCCTCTCTCTCAGAGATGAAAGCTTTAAGTGCTGTTTATCTGATGGGGGCAGTTTTGGGGTTGACCAGCTCTTCCAGGTGGTTGTTAGGAGACACATTTTCTCTGGAGCTTTTAATCAGTTTTTGAACTCCAGCTTTGGAAACTCTTTATGCAAGTGGAGTGTCTTATCTCATCTCATCAGAAGTGAATAATGAATAATGGTTGTTTTGAATGGAAAATAAATAAATGGGAGCTCTGACTTTTGTACAGAACTGTAGTTGTTTTCTAAACTGCACTCTTAAAAAGATGGTTCTTCAAGGGTTCTTTAGTGAAGAGAATGGTTCTATATAGAAACATGAGCCCACAAAAACCCTTTGCATGATTAAATGGTTCTCTGCATGGTGAGATGGTTCTTCAGATTGATGGCGAATGTGCTGTATATGGTTCTATATAGCACCAAAAAGCGTTCTTCTATTGTAGTCAAACTTGACATCATAACAATAGTAGAATCCTTTTGGTGCTATATAGAACCATCTACAGCACATTATCCATCAATCTGAAAAACCATTTAAATATGCATATAGTTCTTCGAGTGTTCACGGTTCTATATAGAACCATTTTCTTAACTAAAGAAAAATCTTTTAAATTATATTTTTTTTAAAAATAAAGTTTGAAAGCTTTGGTTAATTTTTTAAAATCTTTTGAAAGTTTTGAAATGCAATGCTTTCACAGTTACAGTCGGTAAATAAACTCAGTTCTAGCACTGTGCACTCTTTTCTGCTGTAGGCCACGCCCACTTTCAGTTTGTAATTTAAAAGAAAGTATCAAAAAATATCGTTCAAGAATCATTATCGGTATCAAAATCATACCCAGCTGTACTCAGGACCTGCATATCATATTTAATTCATATTTAATTTAATTATTGCAAACTAAAAATAGGTCGACCTTAAATAAACAGCATTTTATCTTCAGGTAACAAACAAACAAACATCTTGACTCTACGTAATTAAATCATGTGGCATAATTAACCCCTCAGTGTCCATTTCTGAAAAGTTAAATTTCCTATGAAAAGCTCCTCTGAGCACAAATCTGAAGACATTTTTCAAAACATACAGCTAAAAAGTTAATTTGTACCTCTTAATACCACGTAATTTATCATTACGGTCAGTCTTTAGTTAGCACAGGGCTACTGATTTTAACAAAACAATAGAAAATCCGAATTTTATGGTACATAAAAGTTAGAAAATTTGGTTTAATCACAAAAATTCAAATGAGGACGGTTAGATGATGATCCAAGATATAACTCTACAAAATGGAATCACTTTAGACCAATCAGAACAGGTTCTGTGGCCTTTTTCATCATCATTAAATCCAGCTGTTGGTCATGAATGAGTTAAATTTGGTTAAAAGTTTATACAGTGTTTTTTTGAGCATATCGGTACATCAGTATTAACGATTTATCATTCAGCACTAATTAATCATATCTTATTGCCCTTTGACCTCTGGTAACATTTGGTTTTTAGGCTCCCTTAGGCAGCCATCTTTAAAGGGGAATTCCACTGATTTTTAAAAATTCCTCCATAACAAAACGGTTAAGATGTAAACAGAGCAGTTCAGAGAGGTTCAGAGTGGTTTGGTGTGAAACGCTCTGTTCTAGAGAAACTCACCAAGTCAGAACTGTTCACAGTGGTGGTGATAGGAACCAGACGTCCACTTCTAAAAGCTCCCATCACAGAAAGTTACTCCAAGAAATGGTTATGAATTCACTGCCTGATGACTGAGACACTGTTTTATGAATGTAAATGACTGTTTGCATCTCAAACACTGAATTATAGAGGAATTTTGGTAAATTGGTGGTGTTCCCCTTTAATGAGTATTTACACCGTAAGCTGACTCACCTGAGCGAGAAGCGGGCGTCCAGGTGACCCGAAAAATCCCCCGCAGACACTCGCACATGGCTGAGAGAGACGCAGAAACACACACACACCCAACACACACATACACACACACCACCGTTCACACCACGCAGCGGTCAGCCCTGTCCTCCTCTGTCAGGGGTGTGTGAGCGGTCAGTGTACCAGCGCAGCGGCCGAGAGAGCCTGTGACTGACCAGAGTGAGACAGAGTGAACAAGAACGAGAGAAAGAGAGAGGAGGGGGTCATGGATGGAAAGAGAGAGAGAGAGTGAATGAGTCAGGGGAAAGAGAGAGAGTGATGGAGGGAGAGGGGGTCATAGAGAGAGAGAGAGAGAGAGAGAGAGAGAGAGAGAGAGAGCAACTGAGCCAGTGAAAAGACAGAGAGAGAGAAAGTTTACTAACATTAAATGTTTTAAAATTTTACTTTTTAAAAACTTTACTGTGATTTGGAAACATTAAATCTCAATACTGTCAACTAATTAGGCTGAACTGATATGAATTTAATTGAGAGAGAGAGAGAGAGAGAGAGACAGAGAGAGAGAGATAAGGAGGAGAATAATACAGAAAGAGATAGAAAAAGAGAGAGTGAAAAAGAAGGTGGAGAGAGAGAGAAAGAGATTGAGAAAGAGAAAGGGAAGAGAGAGAGAAAGACAAGTTGGAGAGAGAGAAAGAGAGAGATAAGGAAGAGAAAAATAGAGGAAGATAGAGCAGCCGAAGAGATAGAATAGAGAGAGACAGATTGAGATAGAGAAAGGGATGAGAAAGAAAAAGAGATAAGGAGGAGAAAAGCAATAGAGAGAAAAGAGAGAGGGGGAGAGAGAGAGGGGATGGAGAGAAAGAGATAGAGAAGGAGAAAAGAAAGAGAAAGAAAGAAGTTGGAGAGAGAGAGAAAGAGAGAGATAAGGAAGAGAATAATAGAGGAAGAAAGAGAAGCAGAAGAAAGAAAAAAGAGACAGAGAGATTGAGATAGAAAAACGGAAGAGAGAAAGAGAGATAAGTGAGAATAATGGAGAAAGAGAAAAGCAAGAGAGATAGAAAAGAGGAGGGGAGCGTGAGAGAGGATGGAGAAAGATAGAAAGAGAGTGAAAGAGTAAGTGAAAGTAAGGAGAGCAAGATGGAGACAGGAAAGAGAGAGAGTGAGAGAATAAAAAACAAGAGAGGAAAAGATAGTAAAGACAGAGAAAGAAGAGGGAGAGAGAGAGAAAAGAGAGAAGGAGGATGAAAGTAAGAAACGGAAATAGGAAAGATAAAGAGAGAGAGAAAAAGAGGGAGAACAGAGGGAGAGAGAGAGAGGCTCACAGTGTGGAGAGAAAGTGATGGGGGATGGAGAGGGGGGCTGAGAGATGGATGGAGTGATAGCAGAGAAAAACAGGCGAGGTTGGGGGTAACAATAGTGCGGCGGTCAGAGGGCTGCATTAGCTGCAGCAGGGCGAGTCAGCAGATTGTGCCGCTGTAAAGCCCCGGGCTTTTGTTGGGCCGTCCAGAGGCTTTGTCCACGCCGCTGTGAGGCCTTGTTACCGGGCTTAGTGAGAAACAGCCGAAACGGACCTGTTGTCAGACGCGGCTCAGCCCGACCACGGCCTTAGAACAGGCCAAAGAAAAACACATTCCCTCGCAAACAGCCCACGCGGCTCCACCAGCTGCCACCACCGCACTCGCAGTCTGAGCTGGAACTACTTTTTTTGGCGGAAGAAACTGCTGATATTGAAAACGCACACAGTGCCTGCAGCACTAATCAACCCCCTTAAAGTAGAGCTGCACCGATCCTAGATTTTCTCTTCCGATACCTGAACTCTGGGTATCAGCCGATACTGGGTACGGACCCGATATCAACACTTTTTTAAAATAAAAGATGGTTCTCTGCAGAACCATGAACACTCAAAGAACCACCTGCATGCTTAAATGGTTCTTTGCATGGTGAAATGGTTCTTCAGATTGATGGATATGTGTTGTATATGGTTCTATATGGCACTAAAACAGGCTTTTCTACAGTTACGATGTCAAGCTGGTAACAATAGAAGAACCCTTTTGGTTGCTATATAGAACACTTTTCAAAAAGGTTCTATATAGAACCATTTACAGCACATTCTCCATCAATCTGAAGAACGATTGCACCATGCTAAGAACCCTTTAAGCATGCAAAAGGTTCTTTGAGTGTTCTTGGTACTGAATAGAACTACTGTCTTTATTAAAGAACCTTTGAAGAACCATCTTTTTTAAGAATGTGTTTCTATATAGAACCATGAACACTGTGCATGCCTAAATGGTTCTTTGGAGAATGTGTTTTAAATGGTTCTATATGGCACTAAAAAGGGCTCTTCTGACATCAGAGCAGAACCCTTTTTGTTGCTATTTTCAAAAAAGTTATATATATATATATAAAGGTTCTCTCTCTCTCTCTCTCGCAATATATATGTACACACTGATCAGGCATAACATTCTGACCACCTCCTTGTTTCTACACTCACTGTCCATTTAATCAGCTCCACTTACTCTATAGGTGCACTTTGTAGTTCTACAGTTACAGACTGTAGTCCATCTGTTTCTCTGATACTTTGTTAGCCCCCTTTTACCCTGTTCTTCAGTGGTCAGGACCCCCATGGACCCTCACAGAGCAGGTACTATTTGGGTGGTGGGTCATTCTCAGCACTGCAGTAACACTGACATGGTGGTGGTGTGTTAGTGTGTGTTGCGCTGGTCTGAGTGGATCAGACACAGCAGTGCTGCTGGAGTTTTTAAACACCTCAGTGTCACTGCTGGACTGAGAATAGTGTATGGAAGCCAGCTGTGTCCTCGATAGGGTAACATGTTTCATCTGTGTAAACTTTTAGGTTACTGATTTTTTGTCACACAATATTTACTCGCATAAAACCAGAGGGGGGTAGTAGCTGGTTACATTTACTCAAGTACATGTACTTAAGTGGAATACTCATGGATTTGTGCTCTCCTGAGTATTTTTTATTTTTAATATTTTTAATATTTTTCTTCTACTCAAGTATATTAGTGAGTAAAGGAGTCTACTTTTTACTCAGTGATGTTTTAGTCATTCATATTTATTTACTAATTCCTTTTTGTGTTTAATTTCATTCTGTTTTGTTGTTCACAGCATCTGCACTGCTTTGAGTTTGCTCACATCTCTGACTTTGGAGCTTTAGTGTTTAATTTTAGAACAAAAGAACCCCAAAAAGAGAAGAATGCAAACTTCAGCTTGTGTGTTGATGGATGCTGGATTCAGTATGTAGCTCCACTGCAGTTCTCTACTTTACTCAGCACTTAAGCAGTTTCTGACCTGATACTTTTGTACTTTTAGTCAAGTTGATTTATTTGAAGGTACTTTTACTTTTACTTGAGCCATTATTTTACTGAAGTATCAATATTTTCTGTGAAAGAATGGGTCGTTCTAAAGAGCTTTGAGGGCGGTACTGTACTAAGATGCCACTGTTGCAACAAGTCAGTTAGTGAAATTTCTTCCCTCCTAGATTTTCCACCATCAGCTGTGAGTGTATTATTGAAAAGTGGAACCGTTTAGGAATCACAGCAGCTCAGCCACGAAGTGTCAGACCATGTAACGTTACAGAGCAGGTCTCCGAGCTCTGAGGAGCACAGAGCATAAAAGACCCCAACGCTCTGCTGATCAATAACTGCGGAGTTCAAACCTCCTCTGGCAGCAACATCAGCACAGAAACTGCACCCAGAGCTTCATGGCAGGGTTTCCATGTCTGAGCAGCTGCATGCAGCCTTACATCACCAAGCACAATGACAAGCGTCGGACGGAGTGGAGTAAAGCGCCGCCACTGGACTCTGGAGCAGTGGAAACGTATTCTGTGGAGTGACCAATCAGTTTCTCTGTCTGTCAGTCTGATGGACGAGTCTGGGTTTGGCGAGTGCCAGGAGAACGTTACCTGCCTGACTGCACTGTGCCAGCTGTAGAGTTTGGTGGAGGAGGGATGATGATATGGGGCTGTTTTTCAGGGGATGGTCTAGAACCCTTAGTTCCAGTGAAGGGAAATCTTAATGCCTCAGCAGAACAAGACATTTTGGACAATTATACACTTCCAACTTTGTGGAACAGTTTGGGAAAGAATGTTTCCTGTTCCAGCATGACTGAGCCCCAGTGCACAAAGCAGCTCCATAAAGGCCTGACTGGGTGAGTTTGATGTGGAAGAACTTGACTGGCCCTCACAGAACCCTGACCTCAACCCCATCAAACACCTTTGGGATGAACTAGAACGGAGATTGTGAGCCAGACCCTCTCGTCTAACATCAGTGTCTGACCTCACAAATGGTCTTCTGGATGAAGGGGCAGAAATTCCCACAGACTCTCCAACATCTTGTAGAAGCTTCCCAGAAGAGTGGAAGCTGTTAGAGCTGCAAAGGGGGACCAACTCCATATTAATGCCTATGGATTTAAAATGGGGTTCATAAAAGCTCCTGTAGGTGTGATGTGTAGGTGTCCCAATACTTTTGTCCATATAGTATACTTTTGCCGGGCACTGTATTTGAAACTGTCTTTGTTTTACTGGTTACTTTGTAAACCTGTTGTATATAAGCAGTAGAACACTGGAGGATGTTGATTATGCTTCTTTGTCTCCTTCTATCCTGTTGTTCAAAATAAACCATGTTCAAAATAGGAGCTTCAGTTTGGTTATCTGGACCAAAGTTCTCTCAAAAGTTCTTAAGTGTCAGATTTTTTCTGTCCTGCTTTTTTATTGTCCCACGTTAATGCAAAGAACGACAGCCTGCCAAAAAATGTTGATAATGATATGAAAATCTGGAATAATAAGTTTTCTTTGGGGACTATTTTGCCTCACAGCGCCCTGCATGTATCCCTCCACCATGAATGGAGTTTAAGTTCTCTAAACTATCATAAAACAGTGTCTCAGTCATCAGGCAGTGAATTCATAACCATTTCATGTAGTAACTTTCTGTGAGGGAGCTTTTAGAGGTGGACGTCTGGTTCCTATCACCACCACTGTGAACAGTTCTGACTCAGTAAGTTTATCTAGAACAGAACGTTTCACACCAAACCACTCTGAACCGC